ATATCCCCCGCCCCCCCCCCCAGGTTCCTTCTTACCGCCTGTGACAGTCATTGGAACATGTCTCACTTGCTTACCAAGTGTGCCACAGTGGTTCTCGTTTTCTTGTTCTTCTCATTCTCAATTAACAGTTTTAGTGTTAACAAGTTAGTAGTTGTTAGTGCTAGTTTTTATTGTAACTAAATAAAAACCAGAGCATGCCCAGGTTCCAAGACTTCAAGCCCTGTGCCAGGTGTCTGAGGCTCATGCCTGTGGGGACCCCCAGGAAGCCTGTGTCAAGTGCCTTGGAAAAGCCCACCTTATGGACAATTGTAAGATCTGCTGGAGTTTCAAGCCCTGTGCTAAGCAGGAGATACACTCCCGCTTGAAGATTCTCCTAATGGAATTGTGTGTCTGCCTGGCACTGGCCGTTGGAGTCGCACCGGCCACCCAGAGCGCACTGGCCTTGGTGCAGGATGCCCTGGGAGTCGCTGTTGTAGCTGCACACGGGGCTGGGGGGAGCAGAGTCCCAGCAATGGGCCGATGGCAGCAGAGCCAGTCAGGTGGGCCAGAGGAGGTCAGGCCTCTGGGTTCTCCTGAGGTAGCAGCCAGGGGAGGAGCCCCGGAAGAGCCTGGATGCATGACCTCCCCTGGTCCGGCAAATTCCCTTCTTTGGGACCACTCAGGTCCCGAGGGTGCCAGACCAGGGAGGTTCAACCTGTATAAGCATTACAGAAAAAGAATTGGAGTAATGGTCAAAAACTTATAAGAAAAATTATTTTTATTTCTAATTTTTAATTCTGCTGTTTACAAATATGCTTTTATACTGATAATATAACCTTGCAGCAATTAAAATCACAGCACAGCTTGCAAAGCAGCTGAACTAACACCCATAAATACCATAAGGGAAAACAATGAACAACCACTAATATTTCTATACATGATCTATTATTTTAATGTCACATTTTGACAATTGTAAATGATCTACAGAATGCATGTGGGCAAAAGGAATTAAGTGAGTCTTTTGAAACACTAAATGTATAATAAAACAGCGCATCATTATTAACATTTACATGATTCACATCAAATTGATGACATCCTAAATGTCCTCCTTTTAAAGGATAGAGATTTTCAATAAAATATTACATTTCATTTAATACTCTGGTACAATACTTCATACATTGCAGGAAAAAAATAAATGTACGGTCTAGTCCACCTAATAAAGGATATTTTTTTCCATTAGCCTTTAGTACTGTAATAAAAAAATCACAATAGTGTCATAAATAACCAGGTCTGTAATTAATAATTACATTTTGCTATTTAAAAATTGAAAAATTAAAAATTAATTTGAAATAATGAAGAAAAATGTCCTAGTACCAACTGTCTGATTTATCCCATCCCTACAATGAAAAAGGAAACAAGTTTTATAGCTAGGGATACAACTAACGAAGTTGCATTTTTCAATACATATACCTCAAGAGAAAATAAGTTTGGTCAACAGAAGACCTAATCAGTCCTACTAAAGGTTACCTGAAATTAAAATGTATGCTATAAAATATTCAGTCAATTAGGTCTGCAGCAGTTTCTTGCTAGCCTATAATACTGCACCTTCAGAGTTGGTTTAAATTTCCCTTGTGGTATAGTCTTCTACTATAGAACTAGGCTCCAATGGGAAAGACAGGGCAAAGTTTCTCTAATGCAGGAAATGGAGAATTATGTTTTTACAGGCCTTATTCTGCAGATGAAGAAACTCAGTTAACTGTGGCATGATAATAGCATCTCTTACTGCTGGCATCACTCCAGGAGGATGTTATGTTAATAACAATTAAAAGTGTTTTTAGAGACAGAAGCAGTATTTTTTTCAATTAAAACATGGACAGCAAATTAGATGTGGCTCTGAAAGACACTTTAGGCAGAATGTTAGTGAAACTCCTGCCTGATGAAACAGACCAGAACAAGCTGCTGTTGACTGCTACCTGCACTGCCCTTTTCACTAAGGCAATTTAAGTGATAGCTAATTTCCATGTAGTCCTTTTCCCCAAGAAACTCTGAAGGAGCCACCTTCAGTAGTGTAAGGCCTTACTGAGAACCAGATGCCCCAATAACTATAATTTTTAAGAAGAGAGTCACTCCAGCCTAAGATAACAGCTTGCACAGGCAGTTACCAGTGTTCCCTGTAAGCTCCGCACTTGGGACAGCTGCCCAGTAGAGATTCAGGTGCTTCCCAGCTGAGTGGCAGAGCGCCAACAGCTGCCCACAGCCAGCAGCATGCGTTTCTATTGGGGGTGCACACCTGCACATGCTTTGGTGCACACAACAAAATTTATTCCACACACAGATGGAAAAAATTAGAGGGAACAGTGGCAGGGAGTGCCAGGGCTGTGAGCTTCACTCCTGTGCCACTGCTTTGGCACAGCTCAGATCTCCTGCTTAATAAATGAACACTGACAAATTAACATAGGCAGCGCCCCTATAGCTGTGTTTTTGACAGAGTGGCCGTAAATTGGTATTGTGGGTACAGGTCATCTAGAGATTGTGTTACTCAAAAATAGCCCATCCAGCAACACAGCTGAGAAGTAATCAAAGGCAACAGCTGTTACCAAAAAACACCTTCATATCAAAGATTAACTGCTCACCCATGTCAAACCAAGTTTGAACGGTATTAGGGCTAATTTTATCATGTATGAATATGGGTGATCCAGTCTTCAAACAATCAAGTTTTGGTCCCATTACTATTTGATATTAATGTAATGGACTTATCCACATCATTGCTTCCCCATCACAAAAAAACAAAACGAACAACAGCAACAACAACAAAAAAACAAAAACAATCCCCACAACTGCTCTGACAAGAAATAATGCTAATAACTAGATTTTGAAACAAAAATGCTATTTGAAGCAGATTAATGCCAATCTAACTGTTGCCTGGATTCACAAATCATATTTTACAAAATATCTTTCCTCATTGTAGAGAAGATTTCCCTTTCACGTGAAAAGTGAGCAATTGTAAATCAGGTATTGGAGAGAAAGGATATAATGATCTTTAGATGGTCTTAAGTTTCGCTTACTATTGAAGGGATAAACACCATAAATAAAAAGGTACCAAGCCTTCACCGTTCATTCTTCATGTGAAGCTTGTTCCATCTCTATCTTGATTTTTTTTAAAACAATATTCATTTCTGTGAAAGTGAAAAAAAATATAAGTCCTTTAGAAACATATAGTATAATTCATCATTCTGAACATACATGGAAATACTTAATTTTGACAACATAAATAGCAGTGATTGATCTTAGATCTAAAATATCAGGTGGAATTTCATATAACTATAGGCATCCATCAGTTTAAAGAGAGAGATAGTTGGGTCTTCTCCCAACTTGCACGTGGAGTGCCATATTTTTCATGATCATTTTACAACTGTAAATGTGTTCTATTAAAGGTACAGTGACAGGTTTGGCATCCTTTTTTAACACAAAAGGAAGAAAATTACCAACTTCTTAGAGACGAAGCTGAAAGAACTGAGATTTAATTTACTTTTTACCACGTACGCTGTTATTTTGCATTTGCCCATAAAAAAGCCTAAACTGTTAACTCTTGAAAGGATCAGCATATGGTAGCTTTGACCCAAAATTTAAGAATGCATCGAAAGAATATAGAAAACTGACTTCAGAAGACAATTCATTTAAAACTTAAATTCAAGTTACCATGTTTCCAAATGAGATCTGCAGTACTGGGCTAGTCTATGAGAACCAGCAAGAGTGAAACAAATATATTCAAGGACATCTGACTGGGGAGCAGAGAAAAGATTATAGGTATTTATATTTAGTGCAAGACAAAATGCAAGTATATATCTGAGTGATGGTAAGGACTTAGTTTAGTGATATATCAATAATAGGATGAAGACCCTTCACTTCCTACTCCAGAGTCTTAGCGCTAATCTTGAGTGTCATTCATATCCATTTGGGGCCTGAAGTCAGTCAGGCTATGTCTAGACTGCAAGCTACTTTTGGAATAAGCTTTTCCAGAAGAGATCTTCCGGAAAAGCTCATTTCGAAATAGTGTGTCCACACACAAAAAGCGCAATGAAAAAGCGATGTGCTATTTGGAAAGATACCATCCACACGGATTGGACGCTTTCTCGCACATAAGGCCACCCAGAACCAGTTCAGGCAGGGCATTATGTCAGCAGTTGCTTCTGGGTGCTGCTGCCTGAGGCTGAGATGTGTGCTTAAAGGGACCCCCCTGGACAGCCGTTTCTCAGCTTCTACTGCTTACTTGCCTACCTCTCTGAGGGACAGCAAAGCTTTTGCAGTGTGCACTCTGGTTGCCCAGGTTTTGGACACCACAGCACTCTCCTTGCCATGGAGCCGGCGCTGCCTCTGGGCACGCGATAGCCCCACACTGCCATGCTGCAGTTTCTGCAGGCTGCCTTCATGGCCCTGCACAAGCTGGACACCGAGCTCATCACTGAGCCCCTCTCCCTGGGTGCGGGAGCAAGGCCCTTGCAACTGCACCCCACGATGGAGGGAAGGTTCTGGAGGCTGGACACCAGTTCCGACTGGTGGGACCAGCTAGTGATGGAGCAGTGGGACGACCAGCAGTGGCTCCACAACTTCTGAATGAGGAAGGAGACATTCATGGAGCTGTGTGCCTGGCTGGCCGGCACCCCACGATGGAGGGAAGGTTCTGGAGGCTGGACACCAGTTCCGACTGGTGGGACCAGCTAGTGATGGAGCAGTGGGACGACCAGCAGTGGCTCCACAACTTCTGAATGAGGAAGGAGACATTCATGGAGTGGTGTGCCTGGCTGGCCCCTGCCCTCCGTCGACGGGACACCCAAATGCGACCCACCATCCCCCTGGAGAAGCAGGGTGCCA